CTTCTCCTCCTCCTCCTCCTTCTCCTTCTCCTTTTCCTCCTCCTCTTCCTCCTTCTTCATCTATTTCTCTTCCTCTTCATTTTCTTTTCCTCCTCCTCCTTCCTCTTGCTTTTCCTTTTTCTCTCTTCTCCTTTTTGGGGAGGCTTCTTTTTAATGACAATGATCTTTTCAATCACCACACTGTCTTGGCACAAATTGTATGCCTGATTCCTTTCATGTCATACAAAAAGTTTTAAACCATTCAGCTGTGACTTTTTTTTTCCTTCTCACTGTTGAGAAGCTAAGTCAAGCAGCACTACTAACACCTTGAAATTTTCTTTATGAAATGATTAGTCTTCCACTTTTAAACTTATTCTTAAGACATGGAAAAATGTATTTTAGTTCCTTTTCACAATGTAACATGTATGATATCTTGTCCAGTTTCTAATGGGGTCCTCGTTTCCATCTGAAATCTCATGATCCTGGCCTTTCCTGTCCTCATCACTACCAACATCCTGGTCACCTGAGCTTCCAGCACAATCTCCCATCCATCTCCGCTTAGGCCATTTTAAGGCTTCTCTAGCGTCTTCTAACTTTTCTAAACTCCTCCCACAAACCAGTTCCAAAGGCTTCTGAATCAAGGTCAGGTATAGTCATAGAAATTACCCAATTTCTCTTGTACCTTTCTGTAGAGTACTAATGAGTTTCCCATACGTGACACTTATAACTTAGAGGTTTAACTTGCTCGCTATCACTGTATCTGAGAAGTCAGTCTAAGGTTAGGTGGCTTGAAAGCAGAACTGACATGGTGGAGGAAAGCTGATCAATCTATGAGAGCCAGGAATGAGAGAAAAAGAATGATCTAGAGGAGTGGTGGGAAACATTTTAGAATTTTCAGTGGTACAAAGAGCTCACTACAGCATGCACGCTACAGGTTCACCACCATTGACCTAGAGCAAGAGTTATATCATTCAAAGGCACATGAACAGTTACACCAAGCTCCACCTCCCAACAACCCTGAACTTGTCAATGATGACTATAGCAGTCCCCTTGTTTGATCACGTTCTGAAAGCTTATCTCTAAACATACTAATAAAAAAAGAAAGAAAATTTAAATGTACACATGTCATGGTTTTTGTCTAGTTGTGCCCCCAAAACCTCATGTAGTCATTGAGGTAGGCTTCTAGAGTTTGTGATTAATCTGTGATCCATTGCTGGGATTATGGGTGTTAGTGCTACCTGTGCTGGGGAGGACAGCCTGAATACAGTATAAGGAGAGGAGAGAGGCTTGCTAGCTGCAGCAGCCGCTGCTCCCCCCTTTACTCTTTGCTGTCTTCTGCCATGAACGGTTGCCCTCTGCCATGTGCCACTCTGCCGTGGAGTCAGCTGAGTATGGACTGAAACCTCCATTAACTGTGAGCTAAATAAACCCTTCCTTCTTTAATTCTGGATGTCGGGTATCTTGTCCCAGCAATGAGAGAAAAATAACTAAGACAACCCCAAAATAAGAAAAAAAGTCCATGGCAAAAACCAACAAAGAAAAGTTCAAGAGGCTGGGGATATAACTCAGTGGCCAACGTGCCTGCCTGGCAAGCACAAGGTCCCAGGTTCAGTCCCTGGTACTGAAAAAAGGAAAAAAAGAAAAAAAAGAAAAAAGAAATGATAAGAAAAGAGAAAAGTTGAAGTTTATCTCACAAAACAACAAAAGAAAACAAAGACCCCCCTTCCCCCGATTTCTTGTTTAGAAGGACAACTTAAACTGGGAGTCTGGGGCCAGTGAGCTTAGCTGTCTAAAGTGCCTGCTTAGGCAAGCTTAGGCAAAGCTCAGGGACTAAGATTCGATCCCCAGCACCACATGCCTTGCCAGCCCT